ATTATTATTATATATTATTATATTTTTTTTAATAATTATTTATTTAACTGAGTTCGTAACCGTATTAATATATTTTATATACGTACGTTACATTGTTAGAAAGTTGTTCTCTACGTAAAACGTCGAGGTCGTCGTGGCGTGGCATGCCGTGGGACTGGTTTCAATCTCGCGTTTCGGGCTCTGTCTTCGCCGGGGCGAATGTTGAAATTGAACGATAAGTGGAGGATTGATTGTGTTTCAAAACGACGGGATCTACATCGACGAGATTTCTGGACGACACCTGGGCTAAATTCCCTGTCGTTCTCTATGTGCAATGAACCGCGCCAAATATTTATTGTATGAATACAGTTGCCCACGAAAGTATTCGAACTGCGTTATAGTTTACCAAAATTACCATCGTTGTACGTGGATTTTTGAAATTTTTAACACCATGGTAAAACTTATTATGCTTATGTTATGAGAGGTATAGATGATGCAACTATGTAGCTTGTACGTGTTATTTCGCGGAGATCGTAAAACTATTTAAATGACCACGATCTATTACAAGTCAATAAAACTCAATATTCCGTGGGATGCTCTTTAACAGTTGAGATGGATGAACTAATTTATTTTATTAAATACATATTTGCAATGAATGTCTAGACTTTTAGAATTTTACCGTCGCAATCCTGGTATTCGTGTTTCGTTGTAGTATTAATAAAACAATAGCGGGCAAAAGAGTGTTTAAAATTGATATTTATTATTAAATAGATAATCCTTACATTAAACATACTTTTATCGATACTAATAACAGTCATCTATTTACATCTGTTCATTGCAATATAATTTCACTCTACAAGGTTGTGTTCCACTTCGAATTATTTCTCTTTCAAAATTTCCTCTACGATGTTGCAATTAAGCGTTCGAATACTTTCGCGAACCTCTGTGCATCGAAATCTCACGAATTCTCGGAACAGACCGTTAAGCCAAAGAGCACGACGACAAGCTCGATTATGTTCTTGAAACCAGAGAGAAAGAAAAGTATCTTTAGCATTTTTAATTGCAAAGCAATTGCGAGCAAAAGAGCGAGATACTCGTTATGCTAAAGAAAAGAATAGAAAAGAAAAGAAAAAAAGAGAAAAAAAAGAAAAAAAAAAAAGAAAAGAAATATTGGCAAATATACGTGTATATTATCATCGAGATCGTTGTAAACATGTCAATTGAGTTTCAGGACTACAAACGTACAAACAAGTATTCAAGCCTGTAATATTTCTGTTTCGAAACATGACATACTCATTATCCACGATTCAATCATGTGTCTCAAAATTCCAGTTACCAATAAAAACGCAGAAACGAAAAGACAACCCCATTGGTGTTTTATTTTGCGAATTCTTCTGAACTCGTCGAGAACTCGTCGCGTGCACACAAGCGAAGTAAATTGACTTTGAACGTTGCCGACATGAAATTATTCAGTGTTGATCTTAATCTTGTACATTGAATCTTGACAATATTGTACCTTGTAAGTAATCGGTATTAAACGAACAAACGAGTCAATCATTGCGATCA